TTTCAGAAGAGAGCTCGGTCGTCAATGTAGTAGCCGTATGTGGAGAGCCCGCCACCAACGATGTACCATACACACTAACAAGTAGTGTTGACACTTGTACGAACAATAATGAAGATGTCACTGGGCTCTGTGTTACGTGCTGCTCAGACGGGAAGTGTTCAGGCTCTTCATCAACTAGCCAATCAGCGATATCTTTACTTGTTCTCGCCTGTTCATTGGTCAGGTGGCTCGTGACGTCATGACAACACCACTGTGACATAGACTTGTAATATAAGATGATGATGAAAACAAACGCGGAACCACCGATATTTTCTCATTACCGATTTTGATATCGATATAGCAACCTGATTTTTATTACTCTACAAAAAAGAATGAGATATCTATTGTCACGGTACGTCGCAAATGGAACAGAAAAGCGACACAGTGCAAAGGATCTGATGATCATTTTAAACTCCACAAAATGATACTTAATTCACATTTTTTAAACATTAGTATTCGGAGGAGGCAGGATTCTGTGTGCTGTGTGCATTATAATAAATGCCCCGTTTTTAAAGACCGATGTTTTCAATTCTTTACTAGCCGTGTCCACACGATGGCAATTTTGATCGGCGTAAAAGTCGTGTTTAGAGCTAGTCTGTGTAAATATGGTAAGGTGGGCGTAAAGGTCGGCGTACTGACCGTCTGAACAATAGTCGTGTTAGCTACGCCAACCTTTACGCCGACTGATTTACTCCTGGAATGTTTCAGGAGTAACGGGCTAAGCGCCGCTAACACAGCTAGAGGGTAACGTCAGTTGATCGTGTGGATGCTCTTACTTGGCAGTCGGAATATATCATAAGGGTTGTTTGTTTACAATCGAAAATGAAAAATAGATTTTGCGCGGTTTAGATGCAGAACCTGGGTTGAAGGTCTACTAGTGTAGGCGCCACCACTTGCCGAAGTTACGCTGAGTATGACTGGGTCGGTTGATGGTCGTGTTGACTTAATCGTGGCAAGTTGGGCCGAGTAAGAGCGTATGGACAACTAGTAATAGTGTAAGTCAAATATAGAATATGTATTGCTGCACTATAGGGCTAAACTTGCTCCGACTAGGACAACCCCGTCTGAACATAGCTACTGTCCGTTGCATAATTTGGTGACGGAGGACTGCGTCATTGACGGTAGAGTGGTATCGCACCGAAATGAATGCAAAATAAAATGTGCAAACGTTGCTTCGATTTATTGGTGTATGGGCAAATTGCCTTAACGAGCTTGGTTAGCGTAGGCCTACTGGGTTATAATGCAATCAAAATGACGCATTGCGGGCAAGCAAACGAGGCGTCATATCGATTGCGTTATTACCTGCACTTCAAAAACAAGCCTATAAAGTCAAATACTGCATATTTCATTGGTTCCAGTCATTGTTTGTACTGTTCGATTTCCATTCACTTTGTGTAAGATAACACTCTGACATGGCGCAACAAAGACTGCGCCAATCGCTGACGCTGGCCTACGTCAAGCGAATAACATCTTTGTATACGTCAAGTAATTTTGAATAGCAGCTCTGTACAAATCCGTGAAGTATAGAAGACTTGCGGAAAAGTTGGCGGATCGCAAAAGGGGGTTTGAGTACCCCTAACCGTTTCCCATAGGAAATGACGCCAATGGATGGACTCCGCGCCGTAGGGCACTTCACTGACGTTGAGCGCCTCCAATCATAAATTGCTCGTTACTGCTTGAAGCATATAATTCGATACTCAAAACAAATCCTCCAATATAATCTGGAAATGACGCATTACTACGTATTTACTTAAGGCCACTTTGTAACGGAAAATATAGTCTGAGCAATACTGGTCAAAAATGCTTCTACATTAAAAAATATATATTTGTGTGGCCTTGACACCGAATGAACTCACGTACTAATGTACCGAGTGTTTCAATTAGAAGGTAAAATATACTTTTAATCTAATAAAATCGTAATTAAATGTTAATGTGTTTTAAATAATGGGGGCGTACATTATGAGTTCCAGAAGAAAAAAAATTCCTTCCCGATTTGCCTAGAAAAAAGATAAAAGACGATACAATTAAAGATTTTAGTATTTTCGAGGCCCAGTGATTCATATTTTGTCTATTCACACACGAAAGAGATAGACAGTTGAAATCCTCTCTCGAATATATAAAGGAATTATTGGTAAATTTATTTGCATTGCACCATACTAATCGGTGATTGATGATCGTGTTCTTTGATGTATTTTCTTTTCATAAAAGCTGCTATTGTCAATACCACTCTACTCCCGATGAGGATGATGATAATGATGATGATGAGGATGGTGATGATGATGATGAGGATGGTGATGATGATGATGATAATGATGATAATAGTGATGATGATGGTAGTGATGATGAAGACTATGAAAATAATGATGACTAAGTTGATGAGACTGGTGCAGATGCTGCTACTCTTACTGCTGATGATGAGGACGGTGACGACGACGACGATGGTGGTGGCAGTGCTAGTGGTGGAGGTGTGGTTGGTGGTAAATTTGATGCTGCAAATTATGATGATGATGATGATGATGATGATAATGATGACAATGATGATGTTGGATATCATCATAATGGAGGTGATAATGATGATGTTGTGACAAGGATGACGGTGATAATAAAGGTGATATTGACGATAAAAGTGGTGATGAGATGATGACGATGATGAGAATGATACGGATAATGATGGTAATAATAGTAACGTTGGGAACAGAGATATAGTGTTTTTAAGAGATGGCGATGACAGTGTTATCGGTGGAGCGTTGGTGGTGGTAAATTATATGCTGCCAATTTATGTTTTAGCTGAATTACATTAGGACAGAATGCAGTTAAAGTTTAGAAAGTGATGTTACAATAACACTCGGGTTGGATCCTATCAGTTCGATAGGAAATCCTTACGTTGTGTAACGTCTTGACATCAACATGAGAACATTTATGTTTCTTTGTTTAAAAAGAAATAATCACCACAGTCCCGAGCGCAGGGAAACAGTACAATTAAATAGATAATTAATATATCATTGTTTTGATACATGGTTAATCTGTATCATATATTCATATTTGTATATTGGTCAAATGGGTTGTTGTCTTATAACTTTAAAATGCTGTTATATTTGCTTATTCCTTATCATGCCATTACATCCATTGTTTGTTTCAATATATAGGTGCATGTACACACAATTCGCACCGGCATTATCAGTATTTTAAATTGAAATAATAATACGGAATAAAGCAATAATCAAATATGTATACATTTCATTTTCATTTATTCGAGAGAAAAAAAAGAAAACGTGAGCAAACTATAGAAACGCTCGAAATATAATTCAGATTTGCAAATAAAAAAAAAGAATCTAGCTACTCGGCTGATAAGGTATGGTGATAAATATAGCTCATGTATAGGCTTGTATGAGTTTTCTTTTTAATTACTGAAAGTTCTCCTGACAAAGTAGTTTATTTAGATATTCAATAATCACTTTACTTTTCAGGGAGTGTTTGTTTCAGATTTTCAACTAATAACGTGTGTACAAACAAAGTTAGTGGAATTAGATATGATATAACCATTGTATATACAGAATATTTATACCTACGACTTTGTATATAATTTTTATACTGATAATTGGTGATAAAATCTTGAATAGTTATGGATAATCATGATATAGATTGTGATGTGTTAAAAAGCATGTATTACTTTGACATTTTGCTACAAGATTAGAGGAATAAATGGAATAACCCCGAACGAGCTTTGAAATGAATAATGATTTGTGTTTTTTCTCTCTGTGAAAGAATGAATGAATATTTGTTTGGATCAAGTGTGCACGTATATATCCCCCTACAATCAATGATTGCAGTAAAAACAAATGTGTTTCTTACATTATTATTGCGTCTTAGATAATCATGATCGCAAAAATCCCCCCCCCCAAAAAAAAAAAAAAACAAACAAACAAACAAACAAACAAAAAACATCAACAACAATAACAACAAAAGATCCACACAAAAATAAAATAAATAAAAACATTAAATCAATCTTAAATAGTCTTTGCATCACCTTATAAAATGTGTTAATTTTTCAACGACATTTCTGATCCGAATATGATTGCTGTAGGGTATTAACATTTGCCATGAGAAGATTTCCTGAAAGTTTTGAGTATCGTGTTAATACACGATAAATGGCAGAATCAAATATCGCCTACATCTACATCAATTCTTTTAAATGTCCATCAGTAAAGGCCAATCGTCTGCTGCGAGTACTTAAAAAAAGGACGTGAACTCCATAAATGAATTATGCTTTTCTGTCTCCCGGGAGAGTCTCAGGCTCTCGCTCAATTATTTTATTTAAGTGTCGGTCTTTCGCTCATTTAGTAATCAAATTATTCATTCATCGCATCCATCAATCTAAATTTCATTCAAAGCACACTCTAATTTGCGGTATTAAAAGAGACTAAACTGCCAAATCGCGCAATTCAATCAACTGGCGCCAACCCCTTTGCATGTGGATTCCGACAAGTCATTTATTTTGTCGTTCATTCTCTCATTCAGTGATAATAAGAAGCGAGTGTAATGAACTTGCTTGCTTTTTCCCTCTTTTGCAAAATGTATCACGGTGTTACCATATTGATTACTGTGCGGTAGAGGAAACAGGCTCACGGAATCTTAACAAATCAATTATTTCATTCATTCACTGATTCATTAACAATCGGACGTAAATCTAATACATCTGCCTGCTTCCTCCTCTATTTATAATCCTATTCGATTCACATGTTATTTGGTTTAGCGCCTTTTCCTCGCATTTAGAAAGCGTTTCATAATTTACTCCACAAATTAGTTGTAAAGGGTGCTTACAATGATGAAAATCTCCCCCATGCACTAACCCCCAGGGGCATCCCATTAGCAACGAAACAATCCCCATTTTTTTGTTTACAAAAAACAAAACTAAATCATAATTAGATAAGATGAAAATATTACACTTGATAAAGATTGTATTTATGGATAAGCATATGCATGTCTTCTTTATTGACCAATATGGTATTCAAATCAAATTCAAAGTTGTTTCCCGAAGGTCAGATGCAATCAGAAACGGATGATTACGATTGACATATTTTCCTCTTTTTGATGGTTCATGGAATAACATAAGACTTGTACATACTCCTTATGCATTTCTCTACTGCCAAGCCTAATTTTCAGTTTCTGATAAGTTTTCTGAATGGCATCTTACATGACCTGTGATGTATTTTCCCCTTTTTTAGTAACATTACTAAATCAGGAGATATTTACAACTTGTAATTGAAGATATGTGATCCAAGGCATAAACAACTGGAGAAATTTAAATAAAAATCCAACACATTAATTAATGGTGATTTATTTCACGTTTCAAACCAGTCAAGCACACGCTTGTAGATTATGAACCAGGATTAAAAGTCGTATGTGTGGGACTTGGTAATTAAAGATTAATCTCTCACCACATCCACTTGGTTTTGAACCTGGGACCTTCTGGTTAAAAGACCACTGCTCTACCACTGAGCCATCAAGCCTCCTTGATCACATGGTTTAGAGGCATACAGTACATGGAATCTTCAAACTTCATTTAAACTGAAATTTTCCCTAATTTTTCTAATATTCAATTTACACTGCGATAAAAGCATCACCTTGTATATCATTAACTATAAAACCAGAAACTTTTGTGACATGAAACTTTAAAAATATGTTTAAGGACAGGTTTTTTTCGCAGCAAGAAACTTTTGTGCAATACGAAAATATAAATTTGGTGATGTTCCCAATCAAGCTTTTTGTGGCATGAATATTCATGAACCTCAAACTCTTCCAAAATTCTCAAAAGATTCATGCATACGAATGTTTCTGATTTTATGATATATAGTGTATAAGTAATCTAAGTGTGGCTATTCAGTAATTTGTCCTACTGCTGAAGCTTACCATGTTTCACATGCATCAATAAACTGCCTACGCTTCTGACCTATTCATGCATGTTACTTTCCACTAATTACTACTACCCGTTTGTTAATCTATCATGCACTCCATTAGAAGTATGAAGGGAAGCCAATGAGTTATAGAAACTTCGTTAAACATGCATATACCCTCACAGTGAGGTATTTAATCAATCAAAAATATAAATCTGCCCTCCAAATATAAAGCAAATGTGATATAAAGCAAAAGTATATGCAGATCGGGCATTCTAAGTGTAGTCATTGTATCTTTATACACTTTTGTATATACAAATGAAGACCTATTGGAAAGAAATACTGTGCATGGAACATTTTCATTGTTTGGAAAGTAATTAGGAGTTTAAATTAAAATAACCACAATGACAAGAAAAATTGAAGAAAAAAAACTTCAACAACCAGATTTCCCTGCAGCACTTTCAAGACTTTCTTAATAAATGTGTTCCATTTACACATTCATAAAATATGGATTGTTTTATGAACTAGAACATGGAATTAAAAGGTGCGTGTTGTAAGTAAATTTAGTTTTATCTGACACTTGTACAGCTACGGTAGATGAAATGGAGAAGGGCACTTTATAGTGAGAAATATTGAAACATGTTTGTTTGAATTTGAAATGATGTAAAACTTACTAAATGCTCATACATACATGCACATTCTGTTATCAAGGTACATGTATGTGTATGACCAAACTCTAAAAGATGAATAAACAATGAATTTTTATACATGTCAATACAGCACACACAATTACCATGCGATAATACATATAACAGATATTTTAAATTTTTTGAAAGACATGTTCATATAATTGCATATTTGCATAGTCTAAAGATCTTTTCATATAATGGGCTAAGTAGTACATAATTTAAATGCCTACAGCTCACATCTTTTCTGTGGTTGAAATTTAATTCCATATTAAAATGATTATGATTGATGATACAGTATCATTCTGCATGAATGCAATAGTCAATAAAAATGTTGGCATCCAAAAAACTCAAAGGAAATCTCAATTCCTGCAAAATGAGCCATGAGATTGGCAATCTGTACCTCTTGGTTGGAATTAATTTAATTATAATAATAATAATAATATTGGATATTTATATAGCGCATAGATAAACATCTATATTTATATAGACATAGATATACATCAGTTAACCAATGATTTGTCCCAACTTAGATTGGTTATGACAATTAACAAACTTTGACTAACATAAAAGATAACATCGTTTTCAGAATACCACCCTAATGCGAAACTGGTGTGAAAATGTTAAACATTTTATTAAAAGGAGCCTTACACTCTTAACTAAATTCATCGCAATTCAATGAATCATTTTCCTCTGCACGTGTCAAATTATTAAAAAGCAATTGGATCAACCTATTATTATGTGTACGGTATTTGAAAATAGAAATCTGAGCAGGGGAAGGGGGAGGAGATTCGTCTACACCAACAGTGACCTAAACACTAATACTATACAATCTCGGTGATACATTTATGTACATGTCATACCTTGATATAATACTATACAACAATAAAACTTCAAACATTGCACTGACAAAACAAGCATAAACAGCAAGAAAACAACAACAGTGAATACTTTATATAAATCGGTGCTTTTTATATAAAAAGGACGTCAAACATGACACTTATTTCAAACTGGACTTTGGTATCTTGATCAATATTTCAAGGCATTTTTAAGTGGTCAGCCACTTTGGACGGATTATAACAAGAAATTTGACACAAGATAACCAAGCTCTCTCCTATCATAGAGATTTGAAATCTTAACACATATTAACTGTGGATAAGCTCCTGATAATGTAAGTGCAAATATATGAACAGTACCAAAGTGCATCGTGAAGCTGATCTTTACCAGTTTTTCCCAGCTAAAGAATGAGTCAAAATAGACTGGAAATGGAAAAAATTGCACCATATATATTTTCATCTGTGAAGCACCTGACAATAGGCACTGTCTCTTTTACTTTGGTCTTTTGTTTCAAAGGAAGCAGAATAGATTTTTCTTTTTTCTTAGAAGAAAAACAAATGCTGTGATTAGAGTGAAAAAATATAGCAGATAACATTAACCTATTGCGTACAAGAACCGAGTGGTCTCTGTATTAAGCTTATGGGATTAAGGGAATGCAGAAGTCTATGGGTAAAGGATTTACATTTAGGAACATGTTAACAAACTCATAAGGACTGCAAGGATTGTGCACTCCCGAATGCATCGATCAGTCCATGGTGCTCTTTGGGTGGTGTTGGTCTTGTCCCGGCCATGGTGGTATGAGGTCTTCTAAGGCCAGGACCAGAGAGATGGTCCGTCTCGCCGGCCATTCGGTGGGCCTTCTTGGCTTCCTTGCGTGTGCTGGGTGCGCTGACAGGGCGCGTCACCAGGAGGCGAGGTTGGGCGTCGGCTGCAGGGTCGGAGCACGCCAGGCTCACGTTGGAGCGGTTCCGGACATGGACCAACATCTGGAGACAAGAGTATGATGAATCATGATATAATGATAATAATGTTTGGTTGCTATGACTGGAATCAACAGAGATAAATACATAGAGCAGATGACTATCACAGCCTTACTTAAAGCCCCACTGCACTACCTGTAGCTACCTGCTCCCTCTATATAGAAACAATGCCTAAGCGGTGCCTGTTGGTCCCCCATGATCCTCTTTTTCTTATGTTAATTGAGAGCTGAGTCCATGAGTACAGATGGGCTTTAAAGTCTACCCTGATGTATGGCATATTTGCTTGTGAGAGATGAAGATCAACTTGATCAACCTTTTAGCCTTCCAGTCTCAAAAGACAATATTCTCCTTAAAGGTTGCTAAATATGAAAGTGGCTGCCTCTCCAATATCATTCAGTGAACATTCAATGGATTGTCCGATCATTCTTTGTCATTGCTCGTGCATTATGAATTTAGTAAAAACAGCTGCATAAAATCATAAACAGAAACAAATTAATGCGGACAAGATTAAAAACAGGGCATTTCCATAAACATTTAATTTAATCAATACATTAAGTTTGATCTCAATGTAATAGGTTATTTGTTTAAAGAATATAATCATGTTTTGTGGATGGTGATGCATACTGGTCCAAAGACTGAAGCTCAATAATAATAACTGAAATATTTCTGTTTCAGAGACATACAGGTGTACATGGAATCTGGTCGAATTCACTAACAGTGGTACCAGATACGCCTGACCAAATATTTCAGACAAGTACTAACAACGTACCATGACTGAATAAATTTCTGACCTACCTTCATCATTTCTTTAGTGTTCATGACCTTTTCCACTCTGCTATACTCTGTCTTAGCTTTCTCATTGAACAGCTCATTGCATTTCTGCATGTAGCGTTTCCTGTAGGTTCAAAAGAGAAAAGAAATCCAATATCAACAAAATGTTTCAAGGGATAAAATGGATGACCATTTACTAATGATTATTTCCTTCAGCACCATCCTCGCTGGTGGAGGCATTCTATATTTTTGTGCCCCCCCCCCCCCCTCCCTTATAAATTCAAAGTTGGTATGATCCATGCAAACAAATGGAAATTTTGCAGTCTGAAAGGTTATGGGGAGCAAATATTATGGAGAGCAAATATTAGGTGGTAAGTTCAATCACATTTCATGTTACATTATTCCCAAAGTATCATTTTGAAACTGAAATACATCTTGCAGAATGAAAGTGTTTTTAGAAATCAGAACCCCATAAAATCTGTGTTTGTACTGTATCAGGATACAATAATGCCGTTGTGCTTTCCTATAATAGAGTAAAGAAATAAACAGTGAGAGATGAGATGTGGTATTTCCAAATTATATTTCCAAAGTTTTGTATAGGCCCTGTGCATTATGCCAGTGTTGAATTTCACTGGTATTCAAGTTTGTGATAGAAATGGTTTGTGAGAGAAACTGTTTTGTGAGCAAAGAGATGTTTATTTAAAACCAACCACAATTCCCCAGTAAAATATATATCCTGAATGAAAAGAATAAAAGATCATGTGAAATTGCATTCAAAGACATTTTTATCTTTCATATTCTTAGATAAACCAAACTTTGTGATTGAAAATAATAAAATAATAATACAGATAATGTCCCATTTTCACATCACACACACTATTATTACTCTATACCAGTGCATACCAAAAAAGTTTGTTTCCCCACTTTCCTATCACCAGGGTGTACATTAAATCCTGAAGCATTAAAGAGTGGCTAATGTCATATCTGTCCATTTAAACCCCTAAAACAATGATACCAGTTTTCTTACCTTGGAACCCTTTCCTCATCCAAACTTTGCTTATGTCTTTATAAGAAAAATATTGTAACAAATATCATGCTCTGTGAAGAAATACAGCTTTTTAAATGTACATTGTGTTTATACATGTAGAATATCATTATAGTTGTCAAATCCCATTTTGCCCCATGTGTCATATATTCTTGCCTTCCCCTTGTAGGTAAATGTATGCTGGTTTCGCTTGACAAAAAGTATATTAGAAAAGGCCATTTAACAATTCCGGCAGTAAAATCATATTTTGCTCATTTTAGCCACTATGACTCGAGGAGGGGCGATGGCTCAGTGGTAGAGCAGTGGTCTTGTAACTGGGAGGTCCCGGGTTCGAAACCAAATCAATGCCCTTTGGTAAGGCATATTTCCTCTTTACGAAGTCCCTTGGAGATGTAAAGCCGTCGGTCCCCTGGTTATTTACTTACAAGCATATACATGCTTTATTAGCAGTCCGGTAAAATCGTGAGTAAAACCTGACATCTTCACCTTTTTTTTCTTTAGTTTTTATATGTTACAACATGCATTACAGATAGTTTTCATATTCAAATCAAAAACTGATATAATCTGGTTGACCTCAAACTATAAATGAAGATATTTTTCAACCTTGGTACCAGGGCCCCTGTTTCATAAAACTTGCTATCAATAACAAGTTACAAGCTTCTTAAATCGTGTAATTTTGTTTTGTAATTGGAGTTTGGCCAAATTGCTTTCACTTGGTCACAACATGGCATATCTTGTTTGTCTTGTGCTTGCCGAACAAAGCAGTATTTAGCCATATTGTGCCCAACTCGAACCAAGATGGCCAAACTCTCCTTTTCAATGGCTTTACCCAGTACATATATTTGTCTCCCTCTTTTAAAGAAAGTTAAATGTGACATCTATTTCCAGAAAATCAAATAAATCACCTTATAGCCCCTCTAAAGTGTTGGGAGCCCCAAATTCGCCAAAGATTTGATGGCAAAATTCCACTTAAATTGTATCACAATGTGAAATAGGATGCCATTTAAGAGACACACTTCTGCAAAGATTTCAACCCAAAAAATGAGTTTGAAGACAAATATTGATAAAAGAATACATAATTTGGGTTTTCCGTTGTACGCAGAAAACCTTTTTGGTATCAATATTCAACTTCACACACATTTGTCTTGAAAATCCTTGAAGAAATGTGTCTTAATTGACATCCACTTTCACATTATGGTACAATTTAAGCGCAATTTTTCCATCAAATTGTTGGGGCTCCCAACACTTTAGAGGGGCTTTAAAGGGCAAGTGGCCATTACAGCCAGGTTGACTTACCTGAGCTCTACATTCTCACTCATGAGAAGGTGAATCTTCTCCTTGTATTTCCCGTCTACTTCATCCACTTTCCCGCTGAAATTCTCCTGGAAATCAATCAGCATCATCTTCTGCAAGGACAAATAACGAACAGAGATACATCACCTTCATACTTTTGGCTAATTAAAGCCCCACTGTACTACTTGTAGTTACTTGCTCCCTCTATATAGAAAACAATGCCTAATCGGTGACCATTGGTCCCCCATGATCCTCTTTTGCTTATGTTAATTGAGAGCCGAGTTGATGAGAAAGCCACCTGTCAGTGACCTTACTGGGTGGTCTAATCCCTTCTGGCCAAACTAGAACAGATGGGCTCTAACAGAAGTGGTTTGAACACTGGGGATGCAAAAGAACAGGGGTTTGAGCTGTAGCGAGAAATCATTTGCAAGACATCTATCTGGAATCGCCTCTCTCAATCCAGGTGGAAGGCAGGATTTCCTTGAAGGCTCTGACCACTGTTATCGGTAGCCAACTAGCGCTTGGGAATTATTGTATTACCTTGACAACATTGGTATGAGGACTATGCAAGAAATCAATATTGTATTCAATTCATTCTTGCAGTCAAGCCTGTCTTTGCAAGCGCCTGTAAAGAAACCCCACCTGGCTATAAAGACCACAGTAATAGGTTCCTTCAAAAATTGCTTCCCAATGAAGCATGTACAACAGCAACCTCTACATATAGATTACCTTCCTAGCTGTGACAATATTGTTCATGAGATTTTAAAGAAAAGAAACACTTATAATGTTCATATCAAAAGAGGGCAGTATACAGCCTCTCTGGTAATAAATTACCCTCTTACACTACACATAAGCTGTGTGAACTATCTTTTGTTTTATGACACTTAAAAATGCTACTAAAACGATATTGAAACATGGTGGCAGCGGTGGGATTTGATCCCATGCTATCAAAAGAGGGCAGCATACAGACTCTCTGGTAATAAATTACTCTCTTACATTATTAAACACATGAGCTGTGTGAATTATCTTTTGTTTTGTGACACTTAAAAATGCTACTAAAGCGATATTGAAACATGGTGGCAGCAGTGGGATTTGAACCCATGCCATTGAAATGACTGGTGGCTACAACCACTTTTCTCGTCTCCAAACGGAGGTCTTTATACAAAGGTTTCACTGCATTTATAACAACAAAAAGAAGGAAATACTTACAGCTTCTGTTAAGCGACCTTTGAAGGAGGCAGCTTGTTCTCTGCTGTCTTCCAGAGCTTGAAGGGAGTTGTTTAGTTCCGCTCGCAGTGTCTTGATCTGGTCCAGAGCTTTCCTAAGGTTTTCCACATCCATTGCAGCACCAGCAAAACGTTTCATCAGTTTCTACAAAGCAAAGAATACAAATTCTGGTACTTCTTTCTCCAGCACACAAGACAGGAAAATCTTATCTGCACACATTTCATGTAGTAAATGTATCTAGAAGATTCTGATAATGACTTAAACATCAATGTATACAATGTAATTTAAGTTCGTTTTGTTTTCACTGAATTGAAGTTGATATTACAAAATCCTAGAGGGTTTCTCCTCCACATCCAAACCATAGAGACCATGCATGTCAGAATGAGCACTAGTCCAACAAAAGTGCATAAAAAAGTGGCTGAACAAAACTTAAACTGAGGGTATGCTCTCTATAGGGTTCTGTACAGTATGATGAGAAGGTTAGCTAGAGAAGGTGAGCTGTAGAAGGTGGTGTAATGTCACCTGCTAGGTCAAAGTGAATTAAAGTTATATCCCTTAACCTCTTCTCAGCTCCCAGCTCCTAATTGTCAAACTTGAACTTCCTAGACTATTTTATCTAATTAAATATGCTTTGTTTCACTGATAAATAAGACATGAGATATCTTTAATCAATACATACTTAAAGATAGAGGAAACTGTTACTGCTTTTCTCTTTAAAAAAAAAAGGGGGGGGGCTTCTTAGTCCACAAACATTACTCATCAATGGATTTCTGGCAGGATTTGTCACCCACAGCATAGAAATAAAATGTCTTCTTATTAACCATGATGGAAAAAGTCCCATCTTTGATGAAGGCATCGTCTTACCTCTATCTCTTCCTTGTGTTCTTGTGACAGCATGTGCATCTGTTTCTGGAACTCACGGTTCAACGCATTCCTTTCTATCATCTTCTCCTCAAGCATCTCCACCCCTAAAAACAGGAAAAGATACACATTGTCAAGGATTACTTCTTGAAGTAAAATGTAAAGAATAAATTAATGATAACTGCATCTTCAGATCATTATACAAATATTATTTACTGAAAACATTCATGTACATGTACTCCTGAGAGAGGGCTTCAGGAACAAGCACAAATCTTGCTTATCTACAATTGCAGGAGGCAAGATGGTAATTGCTAAAAGCAATGGTCTTGTGACAGGGGCATTTCGGGTCAAAAGCAAAACTGATGTGCCAGTGTCTTTCAGTAAGATATCAATCATCAATTACGAGAACCCTAGATAGGGTTTTAAACCACAGGCCAATTTAGTTGTTTGTCTTCAAACACATGTAGAGGCATACCATGGGCCAAAAGACTGAGGGGGCACAGTAACACTTAGTGCATGAAATTAAAATTAACATGGCCATTAATTCAGGTAGGGGTAGGTTTATATAGTCTCTTATATTTACCTTCTCTTTCCCATCCCCACTTTTTCCTCTCATTTTCTCTCTTTGTCATTTTTTTCTTTCTGTCTGCGCCATTTGATCAGGGGGTATATGATAGGGATATCTTACTTTGTTCTGAGAGTTCTCTCTCCATCTCCTCATGGAACTTGTGCTTCATATCACTCTCCTTCTTGGTCCACTTCTCCACCATGTCCTGCGTCAAGGTTCTCTTGTAGGCCTCAAAGGCACCCTGAAGGAACTCCAATTCTCCTTTCATCCTCGCTATTTATACAGAAATATGAATAAAAATAAGTGGTATCTTTTAGCAATTTTCACAGGATCTGCATTTGTGGTAGGTGCCTGTCTACTGGATAGAATAAGTAATTTTCTTGTTCGAAGTTTACCCTATTGTATATGCTCATCGCTCCACAAATGGCTCCACACATATGCTTACCGGTAAGCTACACGTATACCTGTAGCACGTCAGTTATCTTGAGAAATTGAAGCAGCTATGGTAGATAAAGGAGGCAGTTCCAACTTCCAATAGGAACTTTTTATTCCCTTTTTGAAAAGGAGACATATCTTGAACTAACAAGAAAATTAATTGCCTCACATATCATAATTTAAAGACCCTTCTACTTTTTACCAATTTAATAATCTTCTTTATACTACAGGAATTCGAGTGAAACCTAGCCTTAAGTGCCTCACAGATCATAATATAAAACACTTTGACTTTTACTAATGTAATTATCTTCTTTATACAACAGGAATTCAAGTGAAACCTGTGTAGGTCACATGCATGTGACACCACTCAAATTAAGGGTATAACATGAGTGACATTTCTTTCTCTTGGCAAAGTATGGTCCTAAAAGTGACTTGGTGCATATTCCCGATTATGATATTACTCAAATTAACCCTTTGCCTACTGGAAGCGGGTAGTTCTTGAATTAAAGCTATGGGTAATATGAAGATACAGTAGACAATGGATTAAGGGTATCACATGAGGGCCATTGTTTCTCTTTGGAAAGTATGGCCCTAAAAGCTGGCTTGGAGCATGTTCCCACTCACCAAGAGCTTTCTCACTGCCAGACTTGATATGGTTAATTTCCTTGGCTTGGACCTCTTTCAGCATGGCCACCTGCTCTTCCTGGTCCTGTTTGTATTTCTGGAACTTCTCTGTGTGTTTCCTGTCAAGTTCCTTTAGCTTCTCCCTCAGTAAGTTTCCAGCCTGACGAAATGATAAAAAAAATAATTAAAAAATAATTTTTCAAATCAATATGGTGATGATGGCTCTCAAGTTTTGAAAACCCTTGTGTTCTGATAAATTGTACATGATCATTTTGAGTGAATAACCTGTACTTGTCTGTTACCTGAAGAATCATATGTGCTTAAACCGACAGGAATGGTAGCATTGGCAAATTGTCTCGTCTGTCTTGAAGCTTGTTGTATTATTATTGTAAAGCGCATTATTTTCTCTCAAGATGGAATGGGCTATAGAAGCCTACATGTAGGTTATTATAATTATTATTAACGGTTCATATAATTTTCTCAAAGGAACTTTATTAAAATTCCATAAATGAGGAGGCTAGAGAATAGTGATGTGACATTGCTTGATGGGTATTTTTTTTTGCAAGATATATCTGACAGATAATTTTCTTCCATTTCCAAAATTAGCAAGACCCTACAAAGTGATGATATTCCATTATGAATCGTAATCACATGACGTTTGATGAGGTAAGCTAATAAAAGAGACTGTAGAGACATACAATCATATAATGTGACCTTGAATACAAGATTTGAAGCAAGAACTCTATTAAAATCTTTACCTTGATTGTAAATGAATTCAAATGAACATTGACACATGCATTCATATGGGTACACATATGATTTGACTTTTACTACCGGTATCCAGATGAGATTGAGAGAGAAGTTCTTAAGTAATGCTTTGTTTCATTCTGACCTTTTCCTTGCTAGTCTTGTGATTCAGCCTTTCTTCTTCCAGATACAGGGTAAGATCCGAGACTTGTTGTTGTAGTTGGGTTATGAGTGCATCTCTGCAACAAATAGAAAATTGTCCATGTAAACGAAAGAAAACAGAAGCAGAAACCACAAAAGGTATACATAGTAAGAAAACATGATTGAGTTTATGCTTCATGCATTAATGTCTTACAACAGTACTGATTTCAACAGGCACTTGAGTTACCTGTAAGCACAAAATTGAAACAGATATGGGCAATTCCAATGGGACAGGAAATGTTACTTATAATTTTAAAAAGACAGGAAGCAAAAATAATATAAGGTAAAGAGTATTACTTCTAAATATAAAATGCACAATTTGACTGCTTAATGAACAAGTTCCGCAAAGTGAAATGGCAATAAAAAGATGCACACGGTGACAAATCAGTTTTGATTTCACACTCAAGCTTATAAATGGATGAACCAAAATCTAAGGTATAAATAGGTCAAATATTACAAACTTTCAATCTATAATGAACACAATTGTAAAATGTATGAATTCATTGAAATGAGCGACTGATTCAAACAACGTGATACATTCATGATCAAAGTGTTGATGAAAAAATATAGCAAATATAACAAAATTACTTTGATGTAAATGCATTATTTACTTCACAAAGAAAAACATACAGTGTATAATCTCCTCTTTAGAAGAAAATGTATCTGGCTATACTAAATTCACAATGCAGTGGATCTCATAATATGATGGTTAGATGTGGGGGATACAAGCATGAACATTTAAGCCAGGGACAAATCAAAGCTTACATACATGTATATGATCTAAAACAAAACTATGCCACTGACATGTAGGTCATGTGCTTAATTCGAAAAGATGATTTACATGAGGTGAGAAGTAAAAATGCATAATACAAATATCAAAAAGCAAAGAAAACTTATCCAGGGACTATACACTAATGTCCTTTGGCAAGACATTGATCTACATTTGCCACACTCCACCCAGGTGAAGTAAATGGGTACCGGTAGGAAGGAATTCCTTGAATACTGTGAGCACCGAAATCTGTAGCCTAGCAGAGTCGGGGTAATATTGGAGCGCTTTGAGCACCTTGCAGGGTGGATATGTGCGCTATATAAATATCCAATATTATTATTATTATTATTACATATACCCTTTTACTTGGATAAGAAAAATAGAAAATACATTACCTTGGAATATTGGGGAAATTATCTTGAAACATTTTTGAGAATTGGAAACGTTACTTAGTTAGTAATGTGCAAAGCTGTATATGTACAGGACCATTATCTCCATAGCTGCAACTAGATGAAGTCTTGACAAGCTTCTGTGTTTAATTGACAACAAATTGCTCTAGTTAGTGTTCTTTGTTACAAAGATATGCATATTTTATTCATTATCGAGTCCTAACGACAGTTAATGGTGATGATTTCTATTTTTTTTTTTTCGGATGACAAGTCAAACCCAGCCAATAATACTTGATGATGCAAAATGTTTTAAAAAAGCATGTAGAGGGTAGCAGATCAAACAAAAACACAAATATATCATGCAAAACATGCAAACTACTGAATATTCATGAAGCTCATGCAATTATATACATGTACATGTAGATGCAAAAGACCAACTTCATTGACATTTATACCGGTACAATGAGATTCAAATATCACAAGAGCCCCACTTCACCCTATCCGAGTATGATGCTCATTCATACGACCAATTGCCAATGTAAGCAACATGTATTTGCACATAGAACAAGTCGAGTGAAGATATATATGCCACAATCAGACAATGTGATGCATATTCATGACAGCTCATGCCCACATGTATAACATATCATACTTACTGAGCTGACATTGCAATAGTAGCCTGGCTGGATGACCTTCCCATAAAGGTCATCCCGGCAGGGATGGTCTCAAGCTTTCTGTCAAAGGTAGGGGATGTGTGTGGGGAGTGGGTATGGGGAGGGAACAGGCTACTACTACCCAAATGGGGATTCGAGCTGTATCCTGAGGGATTTTTGTCTGACCAATGTTTACTGTTTCCATCGCTTATTAAAGAACCTCTTGAATTAGCCATTAATTGAGGCATTAAGCTACATTGTGTAGATATTGGTCAAATCGAAGAGTATGGGAAAGTTATTGATTTTTGTTTTATTAAAGTGTTTGGGTTATGGAAATATGAGGAAGGGTTAGGTTAGGAAAGGAGAGAAGGTATGAAAAATAACAAAGGTGTCTTTAAAGTCGTAGGCATACATATCACTTACTGAATAAAGATATTTGTAAGGATATATATGACAACTAGGGAATGAAGAGACATATGAAGACGTGGACTTTGAAGTGACATCATATCTGCATCATTACACCTTGGGTGTGTTTCACAAAGATCCAAAGTTGGACTTAACAATTATGGAAAGCCTTTAGCATCTATGAAAGTATTTTGTAAAAATTGTTTTAAAAGGCATAAAATGTTGATTCCAATCATTTATATTTTCTATTATCAAGGAGATTTCATGTTCTTGATGAGGAATTTATAAAAAGTCTAAAATAATTTTCACTTTTGAACATATTTTATTTCAAGGGCACTAATGGCTCTCCATAATGTTTAAGTCCAACTTATAGTTAAGTTCGACTTAGGATCTTTGTGAAACACCACCCTGGTCAGGCAGCCGGGTCGCCTAATAAGACCATTATAGTTGAACACATGCAGATGTGTTATGACTCATCCAGAGTGTGAAGTAAATAGAAGGGCTTACAAACATATTCAATTGATGATGTAATTTTTCCTGGGGACCTGTAGCAAGGTAATCCATTAACCCGTTGTTAATGGATGAACTACAATACCTGGTTGGAATCCAGTCTGCACATATCTTGTGTTGCTATGTCCGGCAACCCTTGAGCAAGCTTTCTAGTTGTCTAAAACAACCTTTCTTTAAAAAGTATACATCAAATTTGAATATGGTAGTAAACCGGTCTATTGGCTTTACTCATGTTGCTCTGAGCAGGACTAAAAATCTGTGGTCATGCAGCTAGCTCTATTCAGGTCCTCATCTTTCTTTTCTTTTTTCGACAAGACAACAACCCTGAACAATGAGACAATTAAGGCAGGTGATGGTCTCTTTATATAGGCTTATGTCTAGCTCGAAAAATATGTTTGAGGCTTCTGGAGATCAACATGGTCTTACGGGCTGTCGATGCTGTTGGCCATCGGTCGTAAGGGCTGATGGTCTACAGGGATGGCCTGTACACTGTAAGCTACAAAGGTTCAGCATCACTTTCCTCTGTTAACTACCCATCAGTAAATTGGCAACATTAGACCACGAAACCTACTTGGGACAACAATATCAACATACATGTACATTATTTCATAATTTCAAGCTCAGCATACCAGTTACATTATCCTGTAAAGTCTACACCAAAGAATCATGATACCATTCCCTCGCACCAATCCAGCAAAATATATGATACAGGAACAACGAAGCACATGAAAGCAGATCAAGCCACATCAAGGAAAATAAAGGCTTCACATATTTTCAAGAAAATAAAAGGAAAATTCCACAATTAAAGAGAATACAAAGCAACACCAGAAAAAAAATCAAAAAGAAGAAAAATTGATATTTTTCTTTTTATACGTATTGTTACAATTTCAAGTTAGCTACATTGTTTTATAAATGTCAAACAGTATAAATTATTTCTTAAAGAATGTGAGCTTTGCTTAACCTATTTGGTACCATTTGTAAAAATGAAAATAAATTCCATATCAAGTTCGCAAAAAGCAGAGGGATAGAAGGGCATGCCACCGATCATAACATGCCTTATTAAGAACCATGACATACCCACCAATCACAAACCGAGAGTTTAATTGATTTCAAAGTTAATTAGGGGAGGAAGTTAAAATTATTAGGTTATAAACATGGATGTTGAAGAAGTGGATGATGCATGCAGGTGCATAAAACGAGAAGGGAAATAAGAAAGAAAATACCTAATAAGAATACCTTGGACAAACCTGTTAAGGGTAGGGGTGGTCAATATTTTGCTGATAACATGGTATCGTATCATTCTCTTTTCAATGCCATTTCATTTACTGAAAGAAAGCGATAAAATCATGCCTTTCTAATGGAACTGAATTCAGTGAAATTTCAAAAGTGAGAAATAATGAAATAAAAGGGCAAAAAATACTGTAGTCAGTTAACTGTTTTGAGAAAACTGAGATCTCTTGCAGAAGCTCTTGTGCATCTTTGTTTGCACACACCCCAATGAATTTTCAAAGATTCTTAAATGCTTTACATGATTATTTTTGCCAACTTAGACTTGTATAAGCCAAGTATTGAAATAATTTATAGGCCATTCTGATCAATTCAATTAACATATTTATCAATTTTTTTCCCATTTTAAAGAAAAAAGTTTAAAATCAAAAATACAAATTAATGGTTAATGTTTTTGTAAACTTGCATACTAGTGCTTTATTTAAACACTATCAGGTTTCAGGCCCATGTCCAAGATGGATTTACAAGGGGTGCGTTAAGGAGAAAGCAAGGGAGGGTTGGTAGTGCTGGATAGGGTGTACATTAGAGGAAGGGAGGGGAGGGGTACAGGAGGGGAGGGGTACAGGAGGGGAGGGGTACAGGAGGTGACACAAGAGGAAAGATACAGACAAACCTAAAGTGCAGGGGGCCCTGTTTCATAAAACCTCTTGCTAACAACAACTTCCAGAGACCCTACGACAAATTTTGGATGTGCCATAGAACTCTTTCTGTTTTGTTGAATATATGTAATTGTCGATCACTGTATTTTGTTTGTTATGGCACTTAGAAACCTTTATAAGCAACTTTAAAAAAAAAAATGATTATAATGATGACATTATACAGTAGGCTTGCGGGTGCATCAATGATGACATTGTTCAGCAAACTTTGACAAGTTAGCACCTAGCCAATCAAATGCTGAATTCTTTCATAATTTATATCAATTTTTGTAACTTGTTCGTAATCACAGGTTTTGTGAAACAGGGCCCAGGACAGCAAACCAGTTCTAATCTAAAAGGAAAGGCGGGCCATGCCACACAGGTAACTACCTTGATCTTAACTTGGGATCAGTTCCAAGCGATGCGATGACAAAGCCACTCCTTCTACGCTAAACACTCAACAGGGGGTCTTCAAATCTATATTTGTATCTAACATCCCTTAAAATCCACCTACTTTTATGATCTACATGTATATCTGAGTTTTGGGCATTTCAGAGTTATCAAAAAATGAGATGTTACGGAAAATCAAAAATCAAAAATTACATGTACCTAATTACCAAGCTATATCCTGCATCAAAACATCTATGAGTGAGATGTTTCAGCAATGCAAATAATTTTTTTCTTACAAAATGCTTTTTAAACATTATTCCAACTAAACTAACCAAAAAATCACACTCCCAGTATCAAAATAAGTATAGATCTCCCTTAAAATATATCAATCACCTTTAACCATGCTAACACTATCCAAACACCATCCCAACACCTGGTATTTACAGAATTGTCATGTAATATAAAACTGAGATGACAGAGAAAAATTTGCGTAGAAATCTATCATCGAATCATATTTGATATGTAACAATCTTCAATGGTTCTAACTACATTATTTATCTACATGAACAAAAATTTCTTCAAAAAAATTTAACTATTTTAATCATTTTAAATCTGAATGCACATAAATTATGTGGATTTTTAAAGGACAAAGTGGGGCAGAGAAAATTATTTGATAAATTTAAACATCCCAATTCTATTTATAGACACATTTCTGAACCCGTTCCCAATCGTAATCCTGATGTTTGATACAATTCAGATTAGTCAATATTAAGCCTGTTATAAAAACACATCACATATGCCTGACCAAATCATATTCTTCAACAATGCTTTCTAAAAGTGTCCTAATAAAACGTTTTCATTGTTTAAATATCTATTGTAGGAATGCTTGGAAATACACTGCAAAAGAAAAATTGATTGGATGTATATGTTGCAAACTTCTTAAAAATGACCTTGCACTGAATAAAATAATGGGTTTAAACTTTGGGTCTCTTTTTCTAGGCCTTTTAATACAAATACAGCTACAATCATATAAAGAAAAACAAACAGTGCTCGTTTCATTCATAATTCTTCCAGGTTGCCTGATATATTTTTGACAAAATACCGGTAAGTAAAATACTGATGGCTTCGGAGCTGGAAAATACTTCATAAATAGAGTAAAGATAATCTTGCCCAACTTTCCTTTCATTTTTCATCTGAGATTGTAAAAATAATCAGGTAGTATAACTAATAAAAATTATGCATATATCCTAAAACTAGAGAAACTATCTACATCTACATGTTATTCTCAACCCCTTTTCCCATCCCCCGTCCGTAGGTTTGTGATTGGGGGTTATGTCTTTGGTTTGCTGCAAACAATCAACGCAGAAAACAAACACAAGGAAAGAACAATAAAGCAAAACATAAAAAGAGGTGTGAAAATAAATTCATGCATAGAAAATGACGAGGGTTACATCAGCATGCAAATTAATACTTTTTCCACAAAGATTTGTAAAAGAACAGGATTATGAATATGACTACATTTTGTTAAGCTTGATAATATAAGATACATGTGCGCTACTACAACTGTAGAGGTGGATAGAAATTAAGGTGTTGAAAAGTTATCTGCCAATTGTTACTGTTGTTCTCCTATTTCGATTTGCATTCATTCTGCAATGATAGTTGGCTTTAGAAAAAGAAATATGACAAACTACTACTTGCTAAATGATTTGTAATTACTTTAATCATAATAAACGCCTTTCTATAATTATGTGATAAACTTCACTATAAGATCTTTATGAGTCTCATTAAAAGTTAACAAACAAAAATTAAAAAACATGCAGTACCAAATTCTTAGCAAAGGGACTCAGAAATCAAAATTCACATTACATTCCAATATAACGCCCTCTGTTCATTTGTCAATCAATGCAATGCAGCTCAACAAAAATAAAATGCTCATTGAAAAAGCAAGGAAAAAAACACTATGAGCCAACACAATGCTAAGGCCTGATGAATCTTATTGAAACCTGGTTTGAGGACAAAACAAACAGAGATTACAGGAAGATAAAGATATTTTCTGAATCCTGATTAACTTTTCAGCTATCGAAAATTGCTTCACTGGTGTTCAAATTTGAGTAAAATCATTGCCGAAGTCCAAAATGTCTGGACATTTATTTGGCTGAAAGTATGTTGTACCTGGCAACTGTAACTTACAGTTCCATGAAACTCTAATGACTCTTTGTCCTCAAACCAAGTCAGATTCAAATTATTTGTATAAGGCTTAGGACAAGAAAATGCAACAAACTGCTGTATACTCACTTTGCAGGGTCACTAACAGGCTGTGTTCTAAAAAGAGAAATTGGGATAAAAATATGAAGAAAAAAATAAAAACAAGTATTACAACATGTACATTGTAAAGCATTTCTTCCCACTGAAGAGAGAAAGATTACAGACAGTCCTTTTCAGGACTCCGCAATCCCCCCCCCCCCCCTCTCTCTCTCTGACATGGTGCAACCGTTAAGTCTACTGTACATTTCTTCATATCTAAAAAAAGTATTGCAATATACAAATCTGCACCACGTAACACAACCATTATCATAATTAGTAATGTTGAGTCTTCAAGAAATGTGTCACGATTGAATGTTCCTATAAAATGATTGAAGCTTGCCTTCTCTTTCATTTACTGGATTATGTAGGGTTATTCGACCTACATTGTAACCAAACCTCCAACATCTGTTGTAACTGTCTATTTCTTCTCCTTGTTATAAAGACAAACAGAGAGTATTTCAATACTTTTATAGGAAGCCAGCATATTTCTATAGGACTTAACTCCAAACATGAACTTCCATATAGTATAATGATATATGGACCCTATTCTTTCGTGAGCATGCTCATCTCATAACCTGCTACTAATTGTGTTCTCTATGACTATGACAATAACAGCAATTTTTTTTTATTCAAACCCTTTATCCTTGTCAGCTTTACTACTCTTGAAACAGACAAGAGTCAACTGTAACTTACGATTCTGCATATCTCCTGATGATAGGAGGTGGTGTATCTCCTCCCCCAGTGCTGATGGTGACGGCTACTTTACTTCTTGACTTTGTCATCGTCATCCCAGGACCAAGGTCATAGTGCTTCCCATTCTGGAAAAATGATAGATTACAGTGGTGTTAATTATTTATATTTTAAAGCCCCACTGCACAACTTGTAGCTACTTGCGCCCTCTATATGGCCAACAAAGCCTAAATGGTACCTGTTGATCCCCTATGGTCCCCTTTTACTTATGTTAATTGAGAGCTGATTCAATGAGATAACTACCTGTCAGTGACCACGCAGGGAGGTCTAATCCCTCCTAGCCAAACTAGTGCAGATAGGCTTTAAGCTACATTTTCCACATTGATCCAAGCTTTGATTTACATGTATAGCCAAAACACATAATTACAAGAAAAGAAGGGGGAAATGTGAGTAAACTAGTACTATGACCAGTTTTCAAAGATACTCCACTGCCCCCACAGGTTCTTTCTCACCAGCCTCTCAATCTCATCAGTCCCTCCAGTTATATTCCTCTCTACCCTATAATTACCCTCCCGCTCTTTTTCCCTTTTACCCCCTCACATCCCCTCCCCCAAGTTACCCACCATCCCTTTCCCACTATCTCTCCCATTTTTTTTCTCTCTCTTTCTCTTTCTCTCTCTCTCTCCCTCTTCCACTGCTATCTCTTTCTCTCTTTCATTTGAGAAAGAACAGGAATACAGCTAGAGATGGAAAACAAAGTGATTGGGTGAGTTAGAGAAAACGAAATAAAGAAAGAGAGTAAAAGAGAGAAAGGGGGAGAACAGAGAGTGAAAGCTCCATGTCATATGACCTTTGACCCATCTTACATCATCTTGTCTCCCAGCACTTCCATACTTCTTCAATGGCAAGTGATTCTCTAGTGTTTTGCGTGCTGTGGGTTCCGGGGACTCCACCTCGTTGACTCTCCCACATCTCGGCCTGCCTCCTGGGGGCGCACTCTTGGGTGATTCTCCATCTTCCCATTCCTGAAATTCAGCAGTGGGTGTGGATCTAAGATAAACAAAAGGGTGGAAAAGTGTATAAAATTCAAAGGAACTCTGTACCGGTAATCAAAATTGTTAAATGATTGTATATTTTATGGGTAAAAAGAAAAGTGAAATCTAATTCATTTGAAACTTAAAGTCTCAGTTTGTACTTGCACGTCCACCGTTTTATTGTAAATAATAGACATCATTCACTGTTTTGAATTACTTCATGCACTGTCACTATGCCAGCACGTTGCACGGACATCCCAGTTTAGCTGTATGATAGCTGCTATCGGGATTATCTCTACAAGATCTTCTACAAGATTATCAATAAGACAAGAGTTAACACACTGCCAACTTTCACAAGTTATTATCTTGAAAGATCGATTTTTTAACAAAAGTGAATATGGCAAAATCTAAATACTTTGCACAATATAGTTCACAGCTTGAATTACATATCGGCAGTTGATGCTGAGAATATCTCATTACTTATAATATGTATCATCTTGTATAAGTTGTATTGGACTCATTCAATAGGAATTTGTCAATAATGATTATTTGGTTTGTGGATCAATGGTCATTATAAATGTGGTAGCCATCTTGCAAAAATAATAAGATTGTTTCTTCAGGAGGAAGAAAAAATAAACCTTCATCTTTATTACGAGAGTAACGTGAGAATAAATAAATGAATTGGAAATTAACTCATCATCATATTCAGAAGAAAAAATATATCTACATGTAAACCAAGCATCTAATAAAGAGTTCATCATTTAAGAATAGACTACTCCCTAATACTCAAAGGGCACCTAGTGGGTCCAGTGGGTCGATATTACATGTTGATCGCTTTTCAGCTGACTTGTATTCTAATACACCAGCTTATAGAGTGCCCTCAACAACATAATAAACACATGCTCTTCAGAATTCAATAGTGTCTCGTTAAACAAAAGTGTGGACAAACAAAAAGGGCCTTCAGTTCAGTACCCCTTTCTTTTGTTGGCGACTTATTGTAGCCCTGAACAAGGAAGACTTGCAGCTTTGCCCAACACTTGAAAAGGAAGATCTCAACTTATTGTATTTGTGTATGCATGCAAATGGGGTAATGTACACAATACACTGGTAATATATAATGTATAGCTCATCTGAGACATTCTATTTAAATATAATGATCAGACATTTGCTCCAGCAACCATTGCTCCAGGCTGTATTTGTTGAAGGTCTAGGGTTAGGACGGTTGAAATTGCATTGGGCTTTAAGTTATAGGAAATAGGGGTTTATAGGGATAGGAATGGTATTTGGTCTAGGGTTGGAGTTAGAGACTCAGATGTTGAAGGAAATTGACCACAGATAAATCGTTGAATGCCATACAATCACACACAAACATTCTTCTCCCTCTTTTTCTTTAAACAAATAATTTGGAGAAAAGAAAAAAAAATTGTAAAGGCATCATTCATCAAATTTGACATCTACACCTGTACATTTGATTTTTTTTTTTTTTTAATTTTAGTTCTCTGTAACTATAGGCAAATTTGTTTTCAAAAATTTTGAAGGTACATGTACACTGTACATTGGATATATATTCATCTTTTTACAAATTGTATAACAAATGCTAGTCAAATTATTGTTGCCTATGCTTTATGTAAAATGATGTTTAACAAATAAAGTGTATGGTAAGTATTTAAAAATGTACATAAACATGGTTGTTTTTTTTTTAAACTAAGTTTTAAGATGCCACATGGTACAATGTACCATGTAATTGCTTTTCGTAATTTTTACTTTGGCGCATTTTAAGCTACAGTGTAATTGCTTTTTAATTCAATTAAATTGATCAATAGCTTATCATGTAAAGATTACAAACAAAAAATAATGATGAAATTCATAGTGGACAATAGCTGATTTCCAAAGATATTCCATCCAAATAATGGCAGACATTTACCGGTACTAACAAACAGAGCACATCAGCTGGCTGTGTAATAAAACTGCCAATAAAAATACAGAGAGAACTGAAACAAAGTTAAGATTTTGTTTATCTTAATGATCAAAGAACACCATGTACCTTTGAGCAAAGGCAAAATAGAAGCCCTTTTAAAAATGCAAATCCAAATTAATATTTCAGAGGGTCACTATGCCCAAGGTTTTACATAAACTCTGTTGGATTTGAGTCATCTATGAAATGTCAATACTTATGGGATCAAAATGAAAATCTACTAGAATACAGACTTCAATTCATCAAATTATCAGAATAAAGTAAATTTTTTTAAATTCTCACTTGTACAATCCTGCACATTATAATTGCATGTACATGTACGGTATGTTACAACCTTAACCCTAGCATAAACTTTTTCTTTAAACAAATTGCTCTTTCTAAGTTTCATATAGATTTCCATATTTTGATATGGCGCTTTGTGATCTCTCAAGACATTTGCCACTCTTGACCCAGGTGAAGTAAACGGTTACACATGAGCAAGAAAAGTCTTGGAGTACTCAAGTGCCCTATCATGGTAGCCCACGGTAGCCATGATATTCAGTACTTTGTATCCTTGGGAAAAAGCAAAATTACAAATTAAATCATCATTCTCTTATCTTGATTATTATCATTACCTTGGTCTTGACTTTTCCTTTGCAGCAGCCTTCCCCGCTTTCTTTTTATTAATGATCGTCAAGCCGCTCATCTTGTACTTGTTGGCCTCCATCTGATCTCGGTTACGCCATTCACCACCGAGAGAGATCGCCGAACGAGAGGCATTGGGCACCGGCGTATTGAAGTTGCTCATGATGAGAGTCTATTCTATTCTTTTAAACATTGTACGTGTATTAAACTTAAAGGCAAGATATGTTTTAGAATGTTGTTCATGTTTGTCCTCATAAAAAATGACTGCATAGATGACTTTCAATTGGCACGATGTATGTTCACTCACAATATTGCATCATTTAGTCATAGTTTTCAATGGTATTAGCTGCGACACTTTAGATGTGTCTACAAGACCATCTAGTGGTTATTTATTCCACTATTTCATATTTGAAACTTCAAGTCTACCAAGGGTGTTTCATCTCCAGTCAGTTGTTAAATTCTTTCATGTTGTACAGCTTTCTCCTTGGAATTTTAGACATTTCTAGCACAGTCTTTCTAATGTTATAGAGTTGCAATTGAAGGTTGCTTAGAGGTCGGTATGGTTTGTCATCTTCACATTTTGACACCTGTGTTGCTGTATTTTCTTTCCATCGGTGTAGCAGAGTACTTGATCAGTGTGGAGTTCTTGAATGAAAAACAAATAAGATGAAGTTTAGGAAGAAATGTTCAACATTAAAACTAATATCCAGTCAATGCCAAATCTTGGAATAAAACCATCAAAGAGAGTAAGCTGGAGGAGAAGCGGATCAAAATATATTACAGGAAAAACTTGATAATAAATTGAACACATTTTCCAACAATATGTAAAGGGAACTTTGAGCAATTGGACAAAAAGCAAATGGAGAATTTTCTACATATATGTATGTATGACAGCGCACATAACAGCATTGCCAGAGGAAGTTTCTCCATATTGATTTAATGATCCTCAACTATCAAAAAATGTTTTTTTAATCTCATGAAACTTCACAAATTTCTGCTTTGTCAAACTTTTCTGAAACCTTAAATATGTACATGTACATGTAGGTTTCTCTGCTTCGAACACACATAATGTAACTTTGCATGATGGTTAAATTCCGAATTAGGACAAAAATGCAAGTTGGGCTCACTTAGGCCTAAACAAAAAAGATGTATTGCCCCTGTAAGTGCCAAAACGTGGGTCAGTCGGTCAGAAATCTTTCTTATTAATGGATGCTCTAATATTCTTTTTCTCTGAAAAAAGTTTTTTTTTAAAAATAATTAAAAGGCGGACCGTGGATTTCAAGATTTTTGGGTCAGTCGCAAAGGGCGATACAACATCTTTTTTTTTTAGGCCTTATAGACCTACATGTACATGTACATGTATCAAAGGGTAACCAAAGTTTGTATGATATTTTGCCTTGCAAATTATGAAATTACCATATTTTTGATGGATCGCTTATTTTTTGATGAACTTTGGTCACCCAACCATACTGAACAACAAGGCATGATGGGGTCCAAATTTCCTGAACCTAAATATCTACACTGTAGTAGTGGAGAGAGCTCGAGTGTACATGTAGCTCAAAGAACGGCCAGGGATCATCACCGACCAAACTGCTGAACAATGTATATTTTTGTAATAAAAAATATAAACATGACAGAAACAAATCAGTGACTGACTGAGAGTTTCAGGATAACTTCTGAGCATGTATTGTACACTCAATTTTTGCGAATTCAACTTAAACTAAAGAAGGGGAAGAAGGCATTAAGTGTACGCCAGTAGTATGATAGCACTATATAGCACAAGACGGCGCAGCTAAATATACAGTGTGAGTAAAAAAAAAGGTTTACACCTAGAAAATTGCTAATTATTTTAAAAATCATTTTTGAACAGTAAATTATTATACATGTACATCTTGTGAAAAAGTGTTTTATCCAAAATTATTTGGTATCATTTGTGTGTGGTATGTGTTCACGCTCGGATGAACATGAGACATTGTAGAGAGTGCAAAAGTTGATGTGCGCCAGTAATGCTTATGTGATGTTTGAATAAACAATTGGGTAGGCCTATTATCAATTCGGTCTTTGCAGATTCAAATAACATCCCTAACAAAATTAGAATGCCACACATATCAAATATCAAAGAAAAGTTGTGCGTGTGTGTGTGTGACTTTGCTTCTGCAAAAACATATGCAATGCATCTCATTTGATACGTTCAATCCATTCTCTCACCTTAATACTTTTGAGCAAGTCAATTTTTGCACTCTCGCAAACAATTACAATGCCTCATGTTCATCCAAACTCCAAAGATAAGCGTAAACACATACCACACAAAAATGATACCAAACCATTTGGGATATAACACTCTTTCAAAACATGTATGATAAACTTTTGTTCATAGCTGACTTTTAAAACAAATGACATATTTCTGAATGTAAACTTTCTTTCGACTCACACGTCATCGTCACACGGTATAGCACTACTCGCCGGCAGAACGAGGCTCTCGCTCGCCTTTAGGCTGCCGGCCGCGCCCCACTGCTTTCATGGTACACTATGGACATCCACTGCGAACTCTGCACTACAATAAACCTCAATCAAAGCACGTATCCGCTGTCAAGATTATGTTTTTTAATTTCAGAGCGTCGAATGAATTCGAACTTTGAATCACTCTATTCATGTGACATAAAATTAATGGTATTTTGTTCGCTGCAATGATAAAGAGAAGCAGTGAAAGAGAACTTACTTCCATAGAAACGACAGCCGTCTTTCCGTTGCCATGTACACGAACGTGTTTTAATGAGCCGCCATGATGAATCGTTTATCATATTGAGCGCGCGGCGTTTCAAAACGAGGGTGCGCGGAGCGAGAAAGCGAATGTGGGTGGTTTGTAGGTGGTGGTGCAGGTGGTGGTGGTGGTAGTGGTGCAGGTGGTGGTGGTGGTGGTGGTGGTGGTGGTGGTGATCAGGGTGGTGGTGGTGGTGGTGGGGTGGTGGAGGTGGTGATGGTGGCCGGAAGCGACAGTGGTAGTGGTGGTGATGGTTTGGAAATTTGGATGTGATGTCGGCTGAAAGCGACAGTGGTGGTGGTGGTTTGGGAATTGCATATAGATCACGGTGATGGTGTCCGGAAGCGTGGTAGTGCTGGTTTTGGATTTGGGATGATGTGTTTGTAGTTGTAGGAGAAGAAATCGCGAATTCACTAGCAATATAATAAAGCATTGCCATTTATTTTCAGTGCGGAATGACATGAGGCCTATCGCATTGTCAGAATTATGAGGTGATGACAAATTAAAAGCCCACTATTGAGGCAAAAGATGAGCCCCTCCTTGGCAATTAATTGCATACAACATCTTCAAAATATTCTGTCGATACTTTACTATAAATAATTCTAGTAAGTCAGTAATTAGCCCTGGCAGTACAAGCTTCGAAAAAAAAAATCTGAAATTATAATGAGTCAATTGCATTGTATTGCATTGTATTGCACTGCCTTTGGGGCTACTCATATATCCCGAATTAGACACACTAAAAAGACACTTAAGATTTCGAGGGTCCCTTTTAAAAACAAAATTGGTTGATACCTCATACTATCATCCATGATTCTAAGCATCCCTAATTTTTCATCAGACCGATACTCTAGTCTTGAGCTCATGCATGAAGATTTGATAGAGATCTAGCGCCATCTACGAGAATATGGCACGAACGTAACTATACACATTTCTAATTCATTAGAGCGTCTCTAAAATAATATTTTTATTCTATTCTTAGCTTTCATTGTCCGGTATTCTGCTTGCACGACTGTGTTAAAATTTCCAAATACATATTCTTTATCCTGTATTATATATATTTTTTTAAAGAACTCATACGCACTTTGTTTAATTAGATTACTTCCTAGATTTTCAATTTACAAACATGGAATCAGGTTGTAACAAATAATTTATTCATCATAGAGAACGTTCAATACTCTTGTAAATTTGTTAAGGAAGGGAGGATCGGGTATTGATCGGATTTGGAAAGAGGTAGAGTGCGAAAATTGAGGGGACGGAGAGAAGGGGGGGGGAACAGTGATAGAAAGATAGGAGAGATATATACGTATATAATGGGGAAAAAGAGGCAAGGGGAGTGAATGTTTGAGAGAGAGGGGGGGGGGGGGAGAGGGAGGAGAGAGACACAGACAGATGGGCGGACGTATATATAGTAGTAAGAGGACAATTATTAGTAGTATATCTATACCACTTTTACTGTTATCGGTCACCCCTTTCGTGCTTCTCTGTCAGTTTTCCCATCGCCTGTCAGGGGTGACCAATAACAGTAATAGTGATACTACTCTTATTTCTACTACTACTACTACTACTACTACTACTACTACTACTACTACTACTACTTCTACTACTACTCTTACTACTACTACTACTACTACTACTACTACTACTACTACTACTACTACTACTACTACTACTTCTTCTACTACTACTACTTCTACTACTACTCTTACTACTACTACTACTACTACTACTACTACTACTACTCCTACTACTACTACTACTACTACTACTACTACCAGGCGTTGGGGGGGGGGTAAGGTCAGCTTTTTTTTTTTTTTATTAAAAAAAAAAAAATCCAAAAGGGGGGGGGGTTTAGAAAAATTTAGGGGGGGGGGGGTTTACACACACAAAATAACCAAAGGGGGGGGGTAACCCCCAAACACCCCCCTGTGTACGCGCCTGACTACTACTAATACTTCTACGGCCACCACTGCTAGTAGTAACGGATTAAAGATGGATTGTATTTTTAACCCAAAAGAACATAACAATAATAAAAACCTGAATTAAATCACATATAGAATTCCATTCAAAAAAAAAGGAAAGAATTAAATTTCCTAAACATTGCGCATGCCAACTATATTTATCAATGATGGTTTTAATATTAGCGATACGTGCATGTCGTGGAAATATTGTGAGAGGATGGGAAAGCGGGTGTTTTTTTTTTGTTATAGGGATGAGAAGACATGAGCCCTTGAACGCTGGTGTACTGGTGGGGGGGAGGGTGTCATTTCCTATTCGATACCAGTGATTTATAAATGTTGCTGAAATGACATGATTTCCGGCATTTTTTCTCAATTTTTGTGTAAGTCATACCTTTTTAATGCGTTTGTTGGAAAATTAGAATTTCCCCAATTTACAGTCGGGCGAAATATATGCTTATTTAGAAGCCTTCAAGTCAGGGCCTGCAGAACGACTGGGCTCGGGGGATCGAGACCCCCGCCCCCTCGCTTTTTGAAAAAGTATGTTATACAGAGGGGAAAAAAGAAAGAGAGAGAGAGAACAAAATAAGTGACCTGCCAATGTCACAAAATGAGCTATCAAAATATGCTCATCTGACTGTAATTCAATGCCTAAAGCCCCAGAGCTTACGGGGGCTACGACTCCGGACACCACCAAGGGCCCTAGGGCAGGCCCCTGGATGCTCATCTGACCGGATTAAATACCTCAAACCCCTGGACTCCAAAAAAGTATGCTACAGAGAAAAGAAAAAAAGAGTGAGAGAAAAAAATAAGTGACCTGCCAATGTCACAAATGTGGTATCAAAATATGCTCATCTGACCGTAATGCAATGCCTAAAACCCCAGAGCTTACGCGGGTTCCGCCCCTGGACCCCACCAAGGGCCCTAAGGCGGGCCCTTGGATGCTCATCTGACCGTAGTTAAATACACAACCTGTATCTAAAACCTGTGAGCTTCAGGGGGTTCTGCCCCCTGGACTACATCAATGGCCTTAAAGAGTCCTTAATCTAACCGTAAATAAATACCTAAAACCCCTGAGCTTCCGGGGGCTCAGCCCCTTGACCTCCTGCCGGAGCTCGGGCCCTGGACCCCACGCCAATTTACGCTCTAGCTGATCGTTAATACTCCACCTTGAAAAACTGTGACGCAGATTTTCTTCTCCCCCCCCCCCCCCCCCTCCAGACGTTTTTGATCATTACGCCACTGCCCCTGGAAGGTGCGCCCCCTGGAATGTTTGCCCCCCCCCCCCCAATTCTAAACTGCTTCCGGCGCGCCTGCTACAACTACTACTACTACTACTACTACTACTACTACTACTACTACTATAGCTTCATTGTCAGTAATGTAAACGGACCTATTGATTAGTATTCCACGAAGTTGTACCAGCTTCCATCAATGCCTTGATCAAGAGAGGCATTAATTTACAGGCTCGTGATTCACTGAGCGTGATAAGCACCTGGCAGGGATTCGAACTTCGAACTTCGAATCACTGGAAAGTCAAGTGCATGCAGGCGCGGATCCAGGATTTTTTTTTTAGGGGAGGGGGCCCAACTTTGCCGAAAAGTCGCTCAGTGGGGGGGGGGGGGGTGGTGGTAGTGAGCACATTTTTTTTTTGGCCCTCGAAAATTTAAAAATTTGCACCCCCCCCCCCTTGGGCGCGAGGGGGGGGCCCAAACCCCCCAAAAAGGTAAAAATCACGTGTTTTTACACGTTTTTTTCCGGGGGCGGGCCCACCGCCCCTCCCCCCCCCCCTGGATCCGCCACTGAATGCATGAACCACTACGCAACAAAATGCAACATATTAATTAGCGGACCCTGCATATATAGGCACATGGTTGTATGTCCAACCAAAATCAAGTGCTCATAATTATGTTATTTTATTTTTTTAAATATTTGTTACACTTTTAAATCATTATACAAAGAAATGTATATTTCATTAAAATGATAAAACGACACTTTCCAAAATGTCTTAGATCACGGCACGGCGCCTCCTCGGGCAGCATGCCTGGGAGCCGAGAAACGGGTCAAGTACAATTATGTGGCCCACATGCGTTTGGTTTTAGCAGGTCTGCATATAATGTGGATTTACAAACGCACTGCTTTGAGGAAAACATCAGCGCCAACAAGTTGTTTATATGTCTATTTATCATTTTACAATCCCTTTTTTTTCCTTCTCATTCTTAGAGGGGGAATGCTTTCCAAATATACATCACTTGATCTGCATAAAGAGGCTGTATACATCATTTAGGCTTGAAACGAGTTTGATGTTATTCTTAAATATATTTATATATATACACCGTATCGAGAAATGTTTCATTATGTGGCGGTCGGACGTTTGTTTCTAAAGATAGCTCGCACCGGGTTCGCCACTTGCGTCAGTTATGCAAATTTGTGACGTCAGTATGCGCTTTTTGATACGTGCCTCTCTCTTGTTTTCTCTTTCTCCTCTCATTCTCTATTATATCTCCCTTCCACTCGGGGCCCTCTCTCTCTCTCTCTCTCTCTCACTCCCTCTCTTTCTCCCTCTCTCTCTCTCTCTCTCTCTCTCTCTCTCTCCCTCTTGCTCTCTCTCTCTCTCACACACCCTCTCTTCATTTCTCTTCCTCAATCTTCTTCTCTCTCTCTCCCCTCTTGCTCTCTCTCTCTCACAAACACCCTCTCTTCATTTCTCTTCCTCAATCTTTTTCTCTGTATATATCCCGCTCTCCCAATCAGGATATTATCTCTCACGATTCCCGCTCTGTCCCCACCCCTCCCTTTCTTTCTCTCTCTCTCTCTCTCTCGTGTCTCTCTTCCGCTTTCTCTCTCTCTCTCTCTCTCTCTCTCTTTCCCTCCCTCTCGTTCTTTCGATTACTCTTACCACCTCTCTCACTCTCATATCGTTATACTCCCTTTTCTTCGCTCTCGCTACCTACTCAATCTCTATGACTATCCCTCTTTCTTGATATTTGTGAATACAACATTGAGGGTCTGTATAAAACCTCACCCTTTGCTCATAAAATATCTCAATTTCGGTTTGCTCTTTGTAAAACATGAATTACAAGTCTTTCTTTTCGGAGATTAACAGATTAAC